ACAAAGCTGCAATAAACATGGGTGTGCATATATCTGCTTGGATGTCAGCTATGGTCTCTTCAGGGTATATTCCCAGTAGTGGAATTGCTAGGTCAAATGGTATCTCTATTTGCAACTTTTTGAGAAAGCGCCATACTGCTTTCCACAGGGGTTGCACCATTGAGTTTAATCATCTTAAGAATAGATTTGAGGCATCTGAATGTTAAGAATCAAAGACCAGATTAACGTGGGACAGCATCAAGGCTATCATGAAAGCAAATGGTTACAACAAATACAGAAAAGGGCAAAATGGATTATCAGAAGAGACTATGAAAATTGCAGTAGAGCATTGAGAAACCAAAACAAAGGGAGGAAAAGTAAAAGAGATAAACAGCACTAAGCTGCAGCCACCTGTGTAGGCCCAAGGCGGCTCTAGCTCCTGGTTGTCCGCTCTGGCTCTCAGGCCGGAGGGCTGCCAGTCACCATGCCTGGCAAACACCAGCACTTCCAGGAACCAGAAGTCGGCTATTGCTGGAACTACTTCCTGTTTGGCTTCAACATTATTTTCTGGGTGCTGGGAGCCCTGTTGCTGACCATCAGTATCTGGGCCTGGTGGGGAGAAGGGCGTGCTCTCCAACATCTTGATGCTGATGGATCTTGGGGGCTGGGACCCCGTGTGACTATCTGTGATGGTGGAAAGTGTCATGTTGGTACTGGGCTTTACTGGCTGCATTAGAGCCTTCCGAGAGAAAATGCTCCTGCTCAAGTTTTTTTTCTGTGTTCCTCGGCTTCATCTATAATTCTGGAGCTGCTGATGGGGATCCTGGCCTTCATTTTCAAAGACTGGATTCAAGAACAGCTCAACCTCTTCATCAACAACAACATCAAGACTTACTGGGATGACATCGACCACCAGAACCTCACTGACTTTGCTAAAGAATATTGGTCAAGGGCCTAACAACTGGAACCTATTTACTACAACTGTACTGACTTGAACCTTAGCTGGAGTGCTGCATGGTACCCTTCTCTTGCTGTGTGAGAGACTCTGCAGAGGATGTTTTCAATACCCAGTGTGGCTACGACGTCCAGCTCAAACTACAACTGGAGCAGGTGAGCTCCATCCACAACAAAGGCTGCATGGGCCAATTTGAGAAGTGGCTGCAGGACAACCTGACTGTGGTGGCCGGGGTCTTTGTGGGAATCGCCCTTCTTCAGATCTTTGGCATGTGCTTGGCCCAGAACCTTGTGACATTATAGCAGTGAAGGCCAACTGATGAGGCCACCACACTTACCACAACAGCTAATCACTTGACTCAGGCCTCTGTTGGGAGCTCCTAACACCCCGCTCTATTATGCCCGTGATGGGCAAGCATGTAGGAGATGTTTCTTCTGGGACCTGAGCTCCCCATGGGGCCTACCTGGTGTGCATGAGAGAGGTGGGAAAGTGTGTATGTATGGGGGAGTGACCACTTGGGCTGTTGGGTTCTCCACAGCATGGTTACGATGGTCCGTGGCAGGTGGGTTTGGAAGGTGCTTCTTGCAGGGGACAGTCTACAGATGTCTCCCTACCCTGCTGGGGACACTTCTCTGGGCACTGCTGTGTGGCGCAGGCCAAAGGACCCCTTGTTGTCTAAGACCTTGCTTCATGCAACCTTAGAGCTCTTTTCTCCACTCGCTGTCACCTGGAGGTGACCAGTCATTCACTGAAGCGTCAGAGACTCAGATTCTAAGATGGGTCCAAGAAATCTCTCTTTCTTGCTTGCCTCTCAGAATCAAACGTGATGATGGTTACAAAATGCTCAAATAAAATTTGAAACAAAAACAACAAAAAAAAGAGATGAACAGAAGATTTCAAATGGCAGTGTGAGAAGACAAAGCAAAGTACCATGAAGGAATGTGCAAAGAGGA